CCCGACATCTCCGTCGCGGTTCGCCCCTCTCGCTACTGGAGTTGAGGTATCGCAGGACTCGACAGAGTGTACTCAGCCCTCTGTCGCAGTACCGTGTGCGCCTCCGCAGACCACCGTCTCCCCTCCTTCCCCGCCACGACTAATGACGTGTCGAGCCATTCGCTCAGCCCGTTGCAGCGAGCAGCTTACTACTCGCGAGGACGTTGTGTCCTCTCTTCTGGACTTGAGCATGCTCCAGGCTCGTCAGGAGYGACTCAYCBTCCATGTCGCTGCACTGCGTCGCCTTCTCGCCATCCTCTCTGACCCTGATCGCACCCTCCCGATCATCCCCGTACGACTCGGGACCTCCACGAGGGTGTACTCAGCGCTGTGGGATTCCGGTTCTCAAGGCGACTTCATTCACTCACGCGTGGTCAAGGAAGACCGCTTACCCACGACAGGGTCTCCAACTCCCATCTCCGTTACCCTAGGGGATGACAAAACCCAGCGCTTCTTCGATCAGACGGTCACCGACCTCCCCTTCTTCCTCACTCTCGAGCCGACGGAGCGTTCCCCGGCGTCTCGTCGCCACCACTCCTCTGCACATTTCGATGTGATGGAGATGGGGTACGACTTCATTCTCAGCACTCCGTGGTCTCATCGGTTCCGCAGCACCAAGGCCGATTGGGCGACCAACACTCTCGTTTTCAAAACGACGTGTGGACAGACGTATCGCGTACCTTTCATAGGTACCACGGCGACACCACGCCCCGATCCTCCTCCCCTGGAGCCTTCAGTGCCCACACCATCTCCCTCTATCACTGTCACCTCGCCTCGGCAGTTCGCTCACTTCATTCGACAGGACGATGTCACCTTCTTTATGATGGACGTGACGGATCTCTTAAACTATGATCCACCCTGTCCCGACGCCAAGCTCATCCCTCTGGAGCCAGATCCTCCCTCTATCTCCATGGCTCCCATCTCTACTTTCGTCCCTCCGTCGTCCGTCGAGTCCACCCGCCCGTCACGCGCTGACGTTGACGCTGAGGAACTCGCACGATATACGGCTGACTTGGAGCCCGCAGTTCGTGACCTCATCCGAGAGTACCACGACGTTTTCTCATCGTCGTTCTCGTACGCYGRCATCCCAYCGATGCGTGACGTCGAGCACTCCATTCAGCTCGTGCCTGACTATCGTGTTCACCACCAGGCACCCTACAGACTCTCGATCCCCGAGGCCACCGAACTCAAGCGTCAGCTTGAGGAGCTCCTGAGACTGGGTTT